AATTAGAGAATCCTGGACTTCAGAAGAATCAGAGAATGAGAAGCCACCAACATCCAAGAGTGACGGCGATTGTCCTAAATGTTTTCTTTCATATCTCCCTCGAGTTCTTTGAGCCTGCAATGACAGAAATCCAAGAGTTTAAGCGTCAAGCAAAAATAAATTGAAGAGCCAGTTGATAAAATCAAATATAAGGATAGCATGTTGAAGTAAGTAACATAGACTAGAGGATTAAAGTAGTAAAGTGCAGCATACAATGTGGAATTTCAGCATACAATGTGATTCCCAAAGATAGATTCAGGAAATGAGGCTTCTTATGCTGAATGTCACAGAGGGCACAACCAGCGTTTGGCTATGGTATGAATGATCAGCGTAACTAAGTCCTTTCACACAAGAGCAATATACTCACATATCTGTGAAGTGGATGGATTTGTAAAGCCAATATCTGACTCTAAGATACACATCTGCATTTCAGCAAAGAGATTTTCAACTTCCTTTTCCCATTCTTCTTTCTCAGGGGGAGGAGGTTCCTCGTCTTCAAACCGAAATACTAAAGGAAGTGTTTCCTTGACAGGAACCCGTTCCTTCTTTTCAAAAGGAGTAATTTTATCATGATCATCAACATTTATGATGGAATCAATAACAAATTTCATAAATTCCGAATCTTCAAGAATCTTCTTTCCAATCCTCCTGTCCTTTTGAACGACATTCTTCACCGAGTCATCAACCTCGCAATCTTCTTCAGATTTAGACTCCTCGCCATCAGACTCCTCCTCAACAGTAAGTAGAATTGGGCTGCTACTACAAGTTCCATTGTTCAACTTCTTCTTTTTGGACTTAGAAAGTGAACGTGAACGAAGAAGATATGATCCACCTTTCTTCTGCTTTTCACTCTCAACAACAAGCTCAGGTGCTAAACCCCCATTCGACTCTTTTTCTCCTTCTTCATTCTTTTCATCTTCTGATTCAGACTCAGAAGATGAGGTGCTATCAGTATGCACTTCCACCGACTTCATGCTTGAGGTAGATGAAACAACCTCCTCATCTTTTTCATTAAACATATTACTCTCTTCCTCCTCTACAATGATAACAACATTATCATCCTCCGAATCATCCGTATCATCATCATCATCATTAGGTATTTCCTCAACGAAAACCCGTCCAATGATAGGCTCACAAGTTGCTGGACTGAACTTTGTTGCATCTTCAGAAACTAACATTTTTCTTTTCCTCCCAGAACCCACACTCTCTTTTCCAATATTCACAGCACAAGTCGAAGAAGACGGAGTAAGATTACCATTTTGACATGACCTGTTCGTTTTCTCTATACAATCAGCAGAACATTTAAAAAACTGTTGTCTAGTTCTCCTCTGTTTTGGACCAGAGCCATCCTCTGAGTCCATCTTTCACCACCTCAGTTCACAATTTTCTTGATCAAAAAATCAACACACTAAAAGCAAAAAATGAACATTTTTAGCGAGAAACACTATCGCCTTCTCCGTCTCACTTTATACGATATTAACCAAAGAAATTTTTAATATTTATTTCACTATAAATCTATCTCATTACAAAAATATAGATATTTTGTTTTAATTTATGTGAGTTAGTTTGACTACTTACAAGAATTAAAGATTCTATAAAAATTTATGGCTATAAATCTATCTCATTAATATATATATATATATATATATATATATATATATATATATATTCATGTCGTTCCAATTAATATAAAGTTTGACTAGATACAAAATTTAATAATAATACATTCATGCTGTTCCAATTAATACAAGTTAGTTTGACTAGATACAAAATTTAAGAATAAAAGATTTTTAAATTTATATCAAAATAGTGATTAAAAATTTATAGATAATCATGTCGTTCCAATTTATATAAGTTAGTTTAACTAGACACAAAATTTAAGAATAAAAGATTTTTAAATTTATGTCAAAATTATGGACTACAAATCTATCTCATTAAAAAGGAAGGGTCTCAAATATATTCAAACTTTGATCAAAATTGATGTTACGATACCAAACTTTGTAAATGACATTTTACCCCCCCCCCCTACAATTTTTAGTAGTGTAAGTTAAACGTATATGTATGTCCACATGGACATAAAAAGTCCACGTGAGCACATATATATCTTTAAAATACAGTTTTAAATAGTTTCGGGGGCATAAATACACTATTTAATAGTTCAAGAGGTAAAAGGTCCTTCATAAAGTTTGATATCGTAACAACAATTTTGGTCAAAGTTGCAGTACTTTTCAGACTCTTCTCCCCAGTAAAACTGTATAGATATTCATGTTGTTCCAATTTATATAAGTTAGTTTGACTAGATACAAAAGTTAAGAACATAAGATTTTTGAAATTTATAATCTTTAGGGGAAATGCACGCCCAAAATTTCAAATACACACTTATACTATGCTAAGGTCCTATTATCCCCCTGAACTTATTTTATAAGTAATTTTATACCCCTTTTGACCTACGTGGGCACTAGATTAAAAAAAAAGTCAACCAGCGTTGGACCCACAAGATAGTGTCATGTAGGCAGAAAAAGGGTAGAAATTAATAATAAAATAAGTTCAGGGGGATAATAGGACCTTCGTATAGTATAAGTATGTCTGTGAGATTTAGGACATAGGTTGAGGGGGTACTTGTGCATTATCCCTGATGGAATATTAGCGTCCACCACCAGTCAATGGACTAGGTCCCTTGACACAGCAAAAACAGTGCAGAAGATTAAACAATATGAAAAACACAACACAAGCAGTTTACGTGGAAACCTCCTTGCTCAAGGGAGTAAAACCACGACCTGTTGCACAGGATTTACAACCTTCTTCACTAATCTTCTCAAGCAAAAGTGAAACCCAGTTACAATCAATGTGAGAAAAAGTTATTAATCTCACGATCAAGTAATCTACCTATTACTTGAAGAGCCTAAGCGGATACCACACCGCCCACTAAACCACCTAACTCTAGATGACTTAGAATTTGACTAAGCAACAAAACAATGTTACCCACTAAATCAGTTAACCTTAACTGATTTAGACTTTTACAAACCCAAAACAAATATCTGAATCCTTTATAGATTAGGAACAGATTTACAATGTAAGTACATAGACACAAAGCTCTAAATACAACAAAGATTCTTCTTTACTCTATCAGGTCCTTCTGTTGAGTTGAGCAATGTTCTTCCTTGAAGATGACCTTATGTTCAAGCTTGTGAATTTTCAGAGAAAATCCAAGTTTAATTTGCCAAGTCTTGAATTTGTGTTTGTTGGAAAGAGATAATATAATTTCTCACAAATTCGTTGAAGTCATCCCATTGGCTGAAGCCCTTCTGTTGGAAAAGCTGTGCACCTACCGCATCAGAGATGACAACTTTTCTGACAGCTGTCTTTTCGTCCTTTTCACGTCATAGTCTTGTGGGTACCAGGTCCCTTGCTTTTGGGTACCAGGTCCCTTGCAAACTTCTATATGAGTTCTTGAAAAGGCTTGTTGGCTGACTTCCTTCTTTGGATGAATGAATATAATATGGTGTTTGTCAGGCTAAAAGTATCAAACATAAAGAGTTATTATCCGTTGGACAAACACCCTCCTCCATTCTGATTGGTGTAGTACACTGACGCCTTACCAACCTCTGACGTGACAGCTTTACAGCTATAACCAATTATATATCTGATGGAGGAAACTCTGCCTGGTACCAGGTCCCTGCATTTGTGAGATACTGAAACATACAATCTCGTCCACTCTTCTTATTGATGTAGGATACTGCACTTTTCACTTACCACCTGACATGACAGCTTTTATGACTGTACACCATTAGTATCTGGACGAGAGCACTCTGCCAAAAACCGGGTCCCCGCATTTGTGAGGATCATCAAAACACCTAGAATATAACATTTTTCCCCTTTTTGATGATAGCATACAAATAAACCTCACACTGAGTTTATCATTCATCTTATTGTCAGCAGTTCCAATAACAAGGATTTCGTTCCTTGTTAGATCGATAAGTTTGTTAAATCATCAAAACTTCATATCAAGTTCGATCTATCATCTTAACTCAGCTTCGAACTAACATTTCCCCCCTTTTTGATGATAACATACTTATTCACCAGTTCCCCCTATCAAAAAGAATTCTTAGGGTAACTTGAGTTTCTAATCTCAAAGTTTGTCAACTCATCAAAATATCAACATAACATTTTCCTCCTTTTTGATGATGACATACTTATTCATCAGCTCCCCCTATCAAAAAGAATTTTTGGGGTAACTGGAGTTTAATCATACCTAAAGTTTGTCAAATCATCAAAACATCAACATATCATCTTCCCCCTTTTTGATGATGACAAACATCTTCTTCCACCTATCGACAGGATCAGGTCCTCGTCAGGTCGCAAGCATTTATTCCCCCTGTCAGCATGACCATATCTCTTCAAGTAGCTACCATTGATTCCTCCTATCGATGTGACCATGTCTTCTTCAAGCAGTTATAACACTATTGATCTCATACCTTACCTTAACAACTTTCCCCCTTTTGACATCATAAAAAAGGGTTAAAGCAGTAAACCAAGTTGACAGAAATATAGTTCTTTCAAATTCATGGCCACTTGGGCAACACAGAGCATGAGTAAAAAGGCATAAAGTAATGAGACACGTTAGTAGAAAACCAGAACAATGCCCAAGAGATAAATGAGGACTGACATAGAGAGGTAGGAAGAGAAGGGATGATTTAGAGGCAAGGGATTGAAAAAATAGAATTAGTAGAGCATATCCCTTAGCATGAGATTTTCAGAATCTTCTCTTAACGTTCAGCATGTTGTGCAGCCCAACCTGTATGTTTAATCTTCAGGGCTGCCAATTTTTCTTCTTTTTTTTTGTTGGCACCTGGTCCCTCTGATAGTATTGTTTCAGAAGCTAGACTTTTAGACAACCCATTTCAGTATTCCAGTTAACACGAGCAACTGTCATAACTTCCAACATCAGCCTGAGTTTCTCATAACAGAAAGATTGGTAACACAAACAACTCAAGGCCTCTGAGATGAATGGATCAACAATTGAGGAACCAAGATGATTTTCCCCTTTTTTTTACACCTCCCTCTTCAGAAAACTTTGATTTCTTAGAATATCAACTTCCCTCTTTTTGAGCATCATCTTTTTCACTTCTTCATTTTTCATGGAGGACCAGATACCTCTTCATAGTTGAAACATTTTCATCAGAGAATTCTCCAGCAAGAATAAAAGGGTTAACAATTTGAAGTGTGTTTGAAAAGAAGAGAAAAAGAAAATTTTGAAGCACCTTGATATTTGGAAGGCAACTCAATTTTTCTGGGGAAATAGAAAGAAATATGGAATATATAAAAGAAAGAGACATAAGGTATCATTTTGGCACTCAAAAGATGGGAAAACAGTCAGATTCCTGAAGAACAGACATGTGGCAATTTCAATGGTTCTCATGCATAATTCAAACTGCAATGTTAAGATTGCTAACCTTCGAGAAAGGACCAGGTCCATCTCTGTAGTTTGAATGTCATTGCCTAGATCTATCCTCACCTACATTTTTCTTCATCCCCTTTTCCATGTGTGTATACCTACAAAAGGTATGAAACTGAATTTGCTAAAACATACATAACCGAAAAGCAAGGATACCTGCTCCCTTTTCATAGTCATTAAAAGAGTTGATTGCTTCAGGTAGGATCCATTCAAGAAGGTTTTAGCATTTCCATCATCATCTTGATTAATTCAGCCAAATTTTTATGAGCTTCAAGATGTTTCCTGATCCACAAGAGTTGAACCCATCAAGCTGCACTTGCTACATTTATTGCCTCAATTGATGAAAGAGCAATTGAATCTTGCCTTTTAACAAAGCTTCTCTTCACACAACACCTCAAAGATTGCCTCAAAGATGACATCATCAATATGTACCTGAATGATCAGCAGTTCCTTGCATATTGAATTCAAAGAGAAGAGTTTTTGACATTTTTACCTCTCTTGAATACACTGTTGAGGAGCAACTTGGACAATCGATCAGCTTGTTGGGGAACCGACTATCAGAGTTTGCTTCTTTCAAACTGAGCTTGATTAGCTTCTTCATTCTCACCTTCAAAATTCACATTATCAGTTTGAAATGCATCATCTTTGTACAACACTGTCTAGAGGACCGGGTCCCTCATCAGGTTCATTATCAGCATCAGCTTCCTTGAGATTGCTGGATTCATGAAGGGAATGTTCTTCAGCAAGCTCACTATTTAGACCA